TGGTTTGATTGACCAGAAAGTCTTTTTCAGTTAATTTTAGAGCAATATCATTCAAAGGGCGGAGAAGGAAACACTGGAGATGTAAGAAATGAATTTCTGAATAAGAAGGAAATGGGGTGATTGGGTATTTGACCATGAAAGGAAAGAGTAAAGATGGGTAGTCAAGCTGATAGAAAAGAGGGTGTGTATGTACGATGGTACTTCAAAAAGTCATGGAAAAATAGAATTAAAAGATAATACGAATCTTTCCATGAACTTTGTGAAGTATCTTCATATATGTTGTTGTCATTGCTGTTATTTCTCGTATGAAGTTAGGACAGTCTTAAACATATTAAAACAATGAAGATGTTAGACAAGTTGGTTAATTACTCTAGACATCCCAATTGTGCAAGGAGGGGGTCAGGCTGCATACAACTGGAACCTTCTCCCAGCTGTGGTTTCCTATGATCCTGTAGGGGAAACACCCTATAGAGTAGACAAAGGGATTTGAGACACCCAAGAGGGAGTGTGTAGTCGTCACCCACAGAGCCTCAGACTACAATGATGAGTACGAGGATCTTTGGTTCTCAAAGCACAATTAACTAACAGTTGCTAATCCTTCTGTATATCCTCTCTTGGTTAGTAGGATTTCTGTCTGTCCAGTTCCCCAAACAACAAGCATGGAGTCATTCTTGCCTCTTTCTCATTCTTCCCTTATGTGTAATTAACCATTAAGTTGTGCTGATTATATTTACTAAAATCTTTCTTGGTCCCAGCTCCATCTCTCCATCCCTACTACCGTCCTTGTTCGGGTCCTGAAGTCACTTACCAGGACACCTACAGCAGCTTTCTAACTTGCTCCTCACTAAACTCCCTCAAGTCCACTCTCTGCACAGTCCCCAGCCTAGTCCAGCTAAGGCATGAGTCTGATTCTCTTCTTTGCAACATTCAAAATATACAGATGTTTCCCCATCACCGAAAGATTCATGCTCATTCACAGGCCAGCAAGATGTTACAGGGGTCACCCTTCCTGGCCGCATCTCTGGCCACTTCCTTGCTTTGCCTTGAATGGCATCCTCAGCCACGCTGACCTGTTGGTTGCTCCTTGCCCACAATAAGCTGCCGCTGGCTTCCCTGCCTTTAATCAGGCTCCCCTCTTGGTTGACAATGGCTGCCACATGGTTAAGTCCTTTTAAAAAACTTTTCTTTTTTAATAGAAAATTTCAAACATATAAAAGAAAAGAAGCCAGTATAATGAACACCCGCATGCCCATCCCCCAGCATCAACAATGATCAGCTCAGGGCCACTGTTATTTCATCTGTGCCACCAGCGGTGCCCCCACCCCACTGATCATTTTTGAAACAGGCACAGACAGCATATCACTTCATTTGTGAATATTTCAGGATGTGTCTCTAAAAAAGAAGGAGTCTTTAAAAAATAAAAAATCAAAATACCATTTTTATAGTGTGGCCCTCAAATCACTGCTGTCAGAATCATCCGTGGTGCTTTGTAAACTGATGATTTCTGGGTCCCACTGAGTCAGACACTCTGGGAGTAGGGCCCTGTCACCAGCAATTTTTTTTTTCTCTAACAGCTATTTTTTTATTGTGATAATATATACATAACATAAAATTTACCATTTTAACAATTTTAAACTGTACAGTTCAGCAGTATTAAGTACATTGACATGCAACTATCACCACCACCCATCTCCAAAATGTTTTCATCATCTCCAGCATCAAGTCACATATTAAACAATAACTCCGCATTGCCTCCTTCCCTCCAGATCCTGGTAAGCTCTGTTCTCCTTTCAGTCTCTATAGTTTTCAGTCACCAGCATTTTCTTTTTTCCCTTTTTAGTTTTAATTAATTTATTTTTAATTGATACAATATTTTAGTTACCAGCATTTTCAACAAGCATCCCAGGTGACTTTAGGGTTCTCATCCAAGTTTGGGAGCTACTGGGTCAGATGGTCCCTAAGGCCCNGGATGAGTACCAGAGCCTAGAGCCACCACTGTTAGCTATGTGACCTTAGACATGTCTGTAAATTTTCTGCACCCCAATTTCCTTACCTATAAAATGAGCAAGTTGGGCTTGATCTCTCCGGGGATCTTTCCGGCTCAAAAAATCCAATGATTACTCTCCATATGTGATTTGACAAGTCTAGATTGTAATGGTGCCAGAGGAAATTGAGAATTAAGAGCAAATCCAAGAAGCATTCTGGAGGCAGAGATATAGGGACCAAATGACAGCAAGGGATCAAAGGCGCTAAGAGATTTCTAGTCTAAGAGTCTGTAAGGGCACCACCACCAGTGACAGAGTCAAGTAATCGGGCAGGACAGCTGATTCCATGTCGGATGTGTTAAGTCTGCGATGCTGACGGGCTGTTTACAAAGACAGTAATTCACAGAACGTGAGATGAAAGGGGATCTCAGCAGTAATCGGGCCGAGTTCCCTCTCGGAGCAGGCATTTCCTCCTCTTCAACACCTTCAGCAGTGGGCAGAGGTCGCTGCATTCAGAGATGGCTCATTCTGGTGTTGAACAACCTAAGTTATTTGTAAGATTTTTTTCTCCTGTTGAGCCAAAATATACGTCCTTCTAATTTCTGTTTTCTGAAACAAACAAACAACCCCCCCCCGCCCCGATCTGTGCCCTATCCCATGTGACAAGCTTTCACAAATTTGAAGAAAGCCGTCATGGATCCCGAGAGCTTTGCTTTCCCAAGCTCATCAATTTAGCCTTTTCAGCGGTTTTCATGCCTTGTTGTTTTTAGGTCCTTTACAACCTCATTGCCCTTTTCAGAACACACTGTCATTTGTCAGTGTCCCTTTCAGCTGTGGTGCAGCCCAGCGAGTCCTGGGGGAGTGTGGATTACTTCTCTTTGAGAAGGCGCAATGCCTCTAGTGCCACGGGCCAAGCGAACCGGCACGTTCCACGTAGGACACGCATAGCCTTTTCCACATGGACTACTGTCAGGCCTGGTTGTGGCCGCAGAAGACACTGTGGACTCTGTGAGGGTGAATGACCCCAGAGTGATTGAGTAAGGAGAGAAGAGTGTTAGGCTCCTGACAGAAGTGCAGAGATTTAGAGGAAGAAGGGGAATCAGAAGAGGCAGATGGCGAAGGAGTGAAGTAGTGGACAGAGGAAGGAGTCAGACCCAGGAAAGCTCAGTACTGTGGACACCAAAGGAGGGACGGGTTTGAAGAGAAGAGCAGACAACAGGATTCAGATCTCACAGAAAGCCAAGGAGAAACGATGAGGACTAAGAAAAGGCTGGTTTGATTGACCAGAAAGTCTTTTTCAGTTAATTTTAGAGCAATATCATTCAAAGGGCTGAGAAGAAAACACTGGAGATTTAAGAAATGAATTTCTGAATAAGAAGGAAATGGGGTGATTGGGTATTTGACCATGAAAGGAAAGAGTAAAGATGGGTAGTCAAGCTGATAGAAAAGAGGGTGTGTATGTACGATGGTACTTCAAAAAGTCATGGAAAAATAGAATTAAAAGATAATACGAATCTTTCCATGAACTTTGTGAAGTATCTTCATATATGTTGTTGTCATTGCTGTTATTTCTCGTATGAAGTTAGGACAGTCTTAAACATATTAAAACAATGAAGATGTTAGACAAGTTGGTTAATTACTCTAGACATCCCAATTGTGCAAGGAGGGGGTCAGGCTGCATACAACTGGAACCTTCTCCCAGCTGTGGTTTCCTATGATCCTGTAGGGGAAACACCCTATAGAGTAGACAAAGGGATTTGAGACACCCAAGAGGGAGTGTGTAGTCGTCACCCACAGAGCCTCAGACTACAATGATGAGTACGAGGATCTTTGGTTCTCAAAGCACAATTAACTAACAGTTGCTAATCCTTCTGTATATCCTCTCTTGGTTAGTAGGATTTCTGTCTGTCCAGTTCCCCAAACTACAAGCATGGAGTCATTCTTGCCTCTCCCCAGCCTGGAAAACTGAGCCGACAGCGCCTGTCCCCTACCTTCCGCCATCCCTCCCTCTGTGGTCTCTACACAATTCTCCTGTATAATTCACACTGCCTGGCAGTTTCTGGCCTGCTCCTGGCTGTCTAGTGTGAAGTTTATAGTTTCCTGCCACCACTTCTGACTCTGTTCATTCCCTTGATTTCCAAACAAAACCGCAACATATCTCGGCTTCCAGTTCTTCTTTTTATTACCACTGTCTTTTGTGGTTTGGGATGCTTGCTTGTTGACAGTGAATGAGAGGCAAATGCAGCTGTATTCCAGATCCCTTGAGTCAAGCCTGCCAAACGAGCCTGGGCAGGATAAATATTTCTGCCTTTGTGGTTTACAATGGCCCGAGCTCTGAATTTACATGGGTAGTGGATGTTCAAAAGGCTTTCTTTTTTCTAATTGGGAAAATAAAAATTATAGCTTATAAAGCTAAGCCCAAGGAAGTGCAGTTTTGACCTTCTTAGCTTTCAGCTGTGGAATGTGTTGACAGTTGATACAGTTCATCGTTGTTTTAAAAGATCCTCCCTGAAACCTTCTTTGTTTCTATGGGATTCTCAACACTTCGGCAGTCTTGTTGCCCTTTTCCATATTTTGTCTATGAAAATGAAGGAAATAGGATAGACTTAAAACACTTTGCTTGTTTCTTCACTGCTATTTTAGCTTTTCCATTTGTGGAAATTGTATTGAAAATCAAATGAGGTTATACTTGTATTTCAGGAATCTGTTTTTCTGACAAGTAATAACAACAAGTAATATTGAGGACTTTTTGGTGCCAGACCTGTTCTAAGTGTTCTGCATAGGCTAACTCATTTAATTCTCACAACAACCCCCTGAGGAGGTGTTATTATCTTCATTTTGGGGCTGAGGATACCAAGGTACAGAAAGATTAAGGAACTGTCCAATGTTTCAGAACTATGGAGTGCTAGACGGTGATTCTGTGGCGTTGATACTAGAGAGAGCTGTAGTTTCATGTCGTAGTTTCATGTCAGATCACCCGAATTCAGGTCTCACCTGTCCTTAGGATGGTCTCATGGAGTAGACAGAGAAGTGAGTGATTACATTATGGTATCATGTGGTTTTGTAAGGTTACAATATATAATTACATTATGGTATTGCAAGATTACCTTATGTTAGCGTTAGGGGTTAGGGATGGCTTTCTGGGAGAGAGGGTACATGAAATGAGATCCTAAAATGTCCTAAGGTGTCAGACGAACAGCGTGTCAGATATTTGGGGTAGGGGCTTGTGTGCAGGCTGACCGGCCCATGTGAGTCACACCGGTTGTTGAGGTGTTCTGAGTGGGTAGGGGGCCTGGGTTGCAGCAAGGATGCAGCTGGAGAAGCAAGCAGGTCTTGGAGGTCTTCCACAGATCATTAAGGAGCTTGGACTTGATCTGGAGGCAGTGGGAGCCATTTAAGGATTTCAACCAGGGCAGTGACGTAATCACTGTTACATTTTAGGAAGATCTCTCTGGTTGTCCGCAGTTTGCTTCTCATTAGTCACTATGCTAAATAAGCTACAGCACATCTCAAATTGCACATCTCTAATGGTCTCATTAAGACCTACTTGCTGGAGTGGGATTTCTGGGCCAGAAGATAGGCACATGGAAGGTATTTAATTTCTACTGTCAAATTTCCTTTCAGAAAGTCAGTATTGATTTCCTGTGTCAGCTCAGTGCTGGAGCTTGCTTGCTTTCCCACATCTACATCAACACTGGGAAATTACCTTTTTAAAAAAATGCTATTTTCTAGTATTTTTTATGATTTTACATTTTACACTTAACTTTGATCTATAGGGAATTTACTTTGACATGTGGTAAGTAACATCAGCCTAACTTAATATTTTACAAGTAATTAACCTATTGCCCTAGCACTGTCTGTTGAATAATCTAAGCTACCTACTTTGATTTTAAAAATGTCATCATTGCGTAAACTAAATATTCCAGTGCCAGTACCATATTATTTGAATTCCTGTATCCTCTTAATACTTTTTCCCATAGAGTTGTGCAAGTACTCTGTAATTGTTATTCCTTTTAAAAATGTTCTTGACTGTTCTCACCTAACCTTCCATAAAATTTAGAGTTGTATTGTCTGTTTCCAACCTCCCCCCAAAATTGCCTCAGAGGTTTGGATTGGAACTGCATTAGTTTTCTAAATAAATTATGGGAAAACAAAGATCTTTGTAATTTTGAGTCTTCTCATTCAAGAGCCTGTGGTGTTTTTCCATTTATTCAGATCTTTGGAGCTAAAACCCCTCAATATTTTGTAGTTTTAGTCATATCAGCTCTGCACATTTCTTATCAAGTTTTTATTTACAAACCCACAGAACTTAGAAAAATTTTCTTATACCTTTAGAGCCTCAGTTTTTCTCATCTATAAAATCAGGAAAATAGCAATACTTATTCACAAGGTTGTTGTGAAAGTTATAATAAATAATATCTAAGTAATATGCTTAACGTAGTGCATGTCAGCTAACATTTACAGGAGGTGTTAGCTGAATTCTGTGAAAAATGGGTAATTTTAGAATATATGTCTATATACCTATATGAGTAGACACACACATGCACATACAAACATAATTGGACTACTTTATTGAACTCTCATTTTTTCCCCAAAATTTTCAGTTAATTTTACTGTTTTTTTATAGTTATCATGGCATCTTCAAATAATGATAATTTTGTCTATTCTGTTTATTCTTTTCTAATATTTATATTATATTATTATATTCTTATATTATATACTTATATTCTAAAGTCTTCCACTTTATATTTATTTGTATTTTTTACATTTCTGAAATCATTTTGTTTTATTTGTATCTTCTGTAGGTTTTTTTTTTTTTTCCTTTTTGTCTTTTTTACTGACCGGTAACGGGATCACAACCCTCAGTGTCGTGCCTGTACCGGGGACCGGCAACAGGATCACAACCCTCGGTGTTGCGCCCACACCGCGCTCAGCCAGTGAGCGGGAACCGGTCTCCACATGGGATCCAAACCCTCGGCGGGAGCGCTGCCACGCTCCCAAGCAGTGCACTCTCCAGTGTGCCACCGGGCTGGCCCTTCTGTAGGTTTTAAAATTAGGTTAGAGTCTCTGGATTTTTAATAGAAGAGTTTAATCCATTTAAATTGGTTATCATTACTAATAGTTCTGGTCTCCACTTTAAGGGTTTCCTTGTTTCTGATGTTTTCCTATATGATATAGATTTTCTTGATTTTTTTTTCCGTAATAACAGATTTACCTATTATAATTTCATTTTTTAACATACTCAAATCTATATGATTTTTATCATAAAGATCAAGAATGATGCCATTTCTGTGGACTTCTCCATGTTTAAAATGAGTAAATTGGCATAGTTTTCTTTATTCCCAACCTGTTTTCTAAACCTCCTGATTTTTGTTATTAAACTCTGATATTTGGAGCCAAGATAGTTAGTAGTAAATCATGGTTATTCTATGCAACTTATTTTTTTTGGGTGGGGGGAAACCTTTATGACATTTGATTAGGTTCTATATTTTCTATAGTTATTTAGAATTAATTATATGTTTAAAGTATTTTAATTCTCCCTACAAATTTTTATATCACACATTATTTTAATTCTGTTTTAAAATTAAATTGTCGTTGGGGCCGGCCCGGTGGCACACTGCTACAGTGTGCTGCTTGGGAGTGTGGCGGCGCTCCCGCCGAGGGTTCAGATCCCACATACAGACCGGTTCCCGCTCACTGGCTGAGCGAGGTGCGGGCACAGCACCGAGGTTTGCGATCCCGTTGCCGGTCCCGGTCCGGTATGGGCGTGACACTGAGGGTTGCGATCCATTGCTGGACACAAAAAAAGACAAAAAAAAAAATTAAATTGTCGTTGAATTGGAGTTGATCTTTGGGTATTTTTTTCAGGGAGATTACACAGATGGCATAATCTCTAAGGTACTCTCTACTTAGGAATGTCTTTCTTATACCAGCTTGGATGAGCAGAAGCGTGAACTCTGGTTTTTTATAAGCTTCTTTTTTTCTTTTCCGAAAAATGTGAGCATGTGACTCTGGAGTTCTC